TGCAGCATCGTCATCATGCAGCTGCAGCAGCCTCAGCCTCCACCCCGGAGCCTCTCTCTCTTCTCTCCCTTGTACAGACAGCCAAAAATATGCAAAGATTTTAAGAAATTATTATTGTGACTTTTATAATATGGCACAACAGACACACACAAACCCCCCATAAAGTAAAGCCCATCTAGCAGTGGGAAATTTGTTGACATGCGCAGAGTGTTGGCCCCAGACATTTGCAATTGTTGTAAAGTGTCTTGTTCTTGTTCTTATTCGACTGCAACATTTTCCATAGTTTTCGATATAAATTCCATTGTGTGCTGTAGCTACATCTGCAATACGAAATGCAGATGCGCAACTTTATCGTTGCTGTCCCTCGTGTTGTACTTTTCAATACCTCCAGACAGCCTCCTCGTCTCCTGCCTACTGCTTGCCCATTCAAATGTATTTGCCATTTTTCCCTTTGGCAGCCACAACAGAAGACAGTGGGCGTGGGTGTGGGCGTGGCAGAACTGGCCTGCATTGACAGCATTTATATAAATTCTGTTGAAAGGTTTTTGTGTCAGGGACTGTAATTTCGGGACCACATCAAATGCCTCCGAAGAAGAGCAAACATTTTTGATTGCAGTTAAATGCATTAAAACTGATTGCTTGCACATATCTAAGACTAGAAGTTGCATATTAGGAGTCAGTCTTAATGACTAATTCAAAATTAAATTGCTTTTCGTTTGCGGCATTCGAGTGAGTTTTAAATAATTGAATTGAATTCCCCTAAGCAGCTACGGCCAGGAAAATGGAAGATGCTTAAATTAATAATAGAAAATAATTGAAAATCATTTCTAATGTGTCCAGGAATGGGTGCTCCAGCTCTTGCTGCTGGTTCCCAGCTCAACTCTGACCAAACTCCAGCAAAGTAAGCGCCCGCAGGCACACTTCAGTCACTCAAACGGAGAAGATCTCTTCAAAAGCCGAAGTACACCATAATCTGATCATTTAATCTGCATTGGAAATCATTAAACGCATTAAAGTCAAGCAGCGCCCAGCGCAACCCAAAGTAACAGACAGCCGACGAGGGCCCGCAGAACGAGGCTGACTGAAGCTGAAGCTGCCACAGAGGCAACCACTGGAGGCAGCCACAAAAGCAACCACACCACACCACACCACACCAAGCTTACTCGGTTACTCGTATATGGACTATAATTTATGCCCGCCGATTGTTTCGAGCACATTCGCACACTTCACAATCTGTTCGAGTTACATTTTTATTGACAAATTGCGTTGATTTTTGCGCTCGCTGCGGATGAGGGCTCTGTTTCAGAGCCTCTGATGCTGATGCTTCTGTTTCTGCTTCTGGGATCTGTGTCTGTGTCTGTCTCTGGCCCAGCATCGATGGCACTTCAAACTGCAAACGACCGGAACTAGCAATTGTCAATTTGATGATGCCTCCCGCACGGAGCCGAGCCATCGACAGCTCGACAATCAAGCAAACAAATTCAATTATGTAAATGTAGACATCAGCACAGACACGGAAACAGATACAGTGACAGTGACAGCGACAGCAGCAACAGATACAGATACAGATACAGATACTGGCAGAGATATGGATACAGATGTGAGATACTCGTAGTGGGAAAATTATGCCAGGCCAGGAATGTGGAACACACGCGACATGCCGCCGCTCTTCCCAAATGAAAGTGTAAAGCTAATCGAGACAAAAGTCGGCCTCATGACATATTGAAGCTGTCCGACGTCTGCCCACGCGGTCACAGCGGACACTGGACAGGGGACAGTGGACATCGGGCACTAGACAATAGCATCCAGCGGGCAATGTGCAGTTCACTAAATATTTCATTGAATCAATTGTCAAAACAAAGTTTGGGATTGTCGCCACATCGTCCGCAAGCTGTGGAGAGCCGCGACTATGGCACAGCATCGTCCACCGTCCACCGTCCACCGTCCATGGTGTTACTTTCAATTGAGCTTAATTAAATTTGTAAGTGAATCTAGTGCGGGCACAGCCCAGACCGCGCACATCCCTTTCCTTTTCTTTCCTTGTGGATGGATCCATTCAGCAAATGCATTTCAAGAGAACATCGCGCCTTGCCTTGCCTTGCCTTGCCTTGGCTTGCCATTGTCTGGGGCGACAATTTACATAATTTAAGTCATTTAAATTATCCGAAAACATTTCAATTCAGGCCCGCTCTCTTTCTCTCCATTTGACATCCACACCCACATCGAAACCCACACCCACACCCACATCTCGCATCTCCTCCAGCCAGGGCCTTTGTCTGCCGCCTGACGCTGGCATTGTCGTCATCGTCTGAATGATTTTGCGATTATGCAAAGTGCATTAATGAGCCTCGGACTCGGACTCGATCTCCTAGTCCCGGGGCCATTGTAGAGACGGATGAATGAATGGAGCCGCAGCTCCATGAGTGAGTGAATGAATGACTGAGTGGATGAATGGATAGATTGTCAAACACGCAGCTCGAATGAATGGCTGCATATCACATTACCAGCCAAAGACAATGGCTAATGCTGCTAAATAGATTTGGCTCGGGGCAGCAGAATGGGAACTCTGGAGAACTAAGCCCAATGAATGCAAAATTAGCCAAGGAACAAAAGAAATCCGTATCCATTGTAGGCTATGGTTAGATTCATGACCTAAAGCTGCTGGGGAAACCCCAAATAAAACATAAATAGATTCTGGCTAACTTTTCGGGGAAACCTTTGACCCTTTAAGGCAGTATTTCTCACCATCCCCCAGTGCCGCAATGCAACATCTAACCCATTCCTATTCCCAGTGAATCGAAGCCTGACAGTAGTATCCCCCTTCTGGGCAGATATTGCTCATAATACGCTCGCACCTGCTTTGATCTGGCCGAGCATTTAACCCAATGCCTGCCTGGCTGATCCCACTTAAGACCCTGGCTGAACTCGCTGAACCCCTCGGAATACCCCCTGAAACCACCCGGAATCCCCGGCACCGAGTCACACTTGCCTAGACGATGATGTTCGGGCTGATGATGATGCCATAAAGGAGATAAACCCGTCGCATAAAATGGTGTCACATATGCGCAACATTAATCTGTTTTGAAATTATAAAAGTGGAGAGTGCGCAACAAAGTCGGGCAAAAAATTCGAAATTAAAATAGCAACCACCACGGCCAAGGGCCAAGGCAAGGGCGGGCTGCCGCCAAGGGATGAGCACGAGTATGTGGCAGGGGGCAACAGTGACGGCTGCGGCTTTTGTAAGCGCAGTTTACAATGTTTTCTCTCTCTCTCTCTCTCTCAAATCATATTCATATGCAAAGCGAGAGGCAGCACAATGGCAAAAGTAATGATGCCAACACCAACCGTGACATTATATAGCCCAGGAACACAACACGAAACAACACAGGGAACAACGGGGAACATCAGGGAATAGGGTAGAGGGAACAGGGCACAGGGTACACGGAGGCAACAATAACGAGCGAATTACGAGCATCAAAATGCGCAATGAAAATAAATTAAAGTTTTAAAAACAACAGCCCCAGGGAGGCCAAGGAGGGTAAGGCATCGGTGGGATTCCGGATGCCCATGTCCTCTCCAATTGTGCAGACAATTTAAGGAACTTTGTGTAGGTGGACACACGGAATGGCATGGGCAGAATTACAAAACTTTTTCTGTTTCAATTTTTTTTTTGGGGCGAAAAATAAGAAATTTGCATAAATTGACAGCAGAAATTTTTATATGCCACCACATAATGACCACTCGGAGCAGCTGTAAACAGCTCGTAAAAGTAATTACAGTTGCCGACAGACAAAATGAGGGAAAGCAGAGGGATGCGGCTAAGGGGCTGCCCCCAGGCAGGCGGGGGTGTCACAACTGAGCGGGTGTTCATGGGTGTTTGACCGACTCGCCACTAATTATAGGCAACTTAAACGCAACTAATTTTCACACTTGGAAAATGATTAAAAGTCCATTTGGCCGTGTGTGCGTGTGACTATGGAGGAGCAACAGCGTGAGATCCAGCGGGAGAACGAGCCAACCAGCCGACACCTTGGCTAATTAATATTAATTGAATTTCTTGGTCAAGCATGCGTCTGTTCGGGCCAGGCCGAGTGCGTGGAAATCTACGCAGCTGCTGCTGGGTGCCACTCGATTGGCAAACCCCCATAGAGGCCACAAGAGATGGAGCGTTAGTGCTGGCGAAGTGCATTCGCTTCACACCAACTTAGGAGGACTTAGGACGGGCTAATGCCCGCCGTAAACGATCACGAAACCCGAGCGGAAGTCCAGCAGATGAAGCGTGCTCTGCACGAACATTTCGAGGCAATTATAGTTCAATTATTTTGGTCGAGAGAGCACCGGAGATATATGGCCACGCAACGGAACGGTCGGTCAGCAGCGGGTCAGGTCAAGCAGGAGTTGACCGGCTGACAGCTGGCAAATTGCGAGACCGGACCCATATCAGTTGTCAGTGGGTGCAGGACACCAGGGACTGGGTTTCCCACGCAGAATGAGGTCCCTCGTTCATACGAAAAGAGTTTGCATTTGGTGTTCATAATCTTTTATTTCATAATTTATTACAATTGAAAATGTTGTTCAATATTTTCTCGTATTCTGTTTCGTTCTTGTTGCTCCTCCCCACCATGATAATGGTTCCGCTAGAGAGAGAGAGAGAGAGAAATATATCCCTAGCACTCATGCATCCATCAATCCATAAGTTCATCCATTCATCAATCTCATACAACAAGTTCAGGAATTCGTTAATTGGTTTTTATTTCTTTACATAGAAGCTTCAATTAGTTAATTAATTTAATGATACTTTCCTTTCAATATATTTATAATTATATTTATTATAATTTACTTTAATTCATTCCGGCTTTAAGTCTAGCAATTTAGTTAAAGTTAATTTTTACACGCACAAACATTTATTTAATTCAATTCTCCATATAAATATATTTCTAATTTTTACTCCAACTCCAACGCACTTTCGGATTCTATTTCGTAACTTTTGCTTGTTTTCCCATTGATTTATGTACTATATATTTTTGCCTGCCACCAAGAGCTAGCTCTCCCTTTCTAACTCTTGGGTGCATCAGGCGCACGCTCTCGCTCTCGCTCGCTCTCGATCTCGCTCGCTCGCTCGCTTGCTCTCTCGATCGTGTGTCTATATAGAGTGATTCTATCTCTTTCATTCTTCTGGGTTTACTGTTGCTGTCGCGTGGGTAAGTTTTAAGTTTAAATTGTTGTCTCGTTCGTTCTTTACGTTCGGTTTCTTGTGCATTTTTTTTAGTCTATGCTCAGGGTTGCATTTGCTCGGCTGCGCTTCTTCGGCCATTTACGATCTAGCATTAGACTTAGGTTAAGATTAGCTTTAAAGTTAGTTTATAATGTACTTAAGTGGGAGGGGGTGATCTATGCAAATGTTGCGCAGTATTTACAGAGTATTCTCAATGGGAATTGTCAAAAATGTACAATATTTATTACATACATTACACTCTTGAGTGCAGCGACTATGTTTATAATAATCATTTAATAATAATAATAATGTTGCTGTAGCACTTAATAATCATATTTATAATATTTACGGCGTATACATTAAAGTTTCGAGAAAAATCACATTTTAATTTAAATTCTGACACAAAAATTAGTTCAAACATAAGAAGCCTTCTTCAAGTTCGTTTCGTTTCCATATACAATGCGTATTATAAATCGTACATCGGCCTGACATTAATCAACACTGACTTGACACACACACACGCTTACATATTGCATTCGCCCCATATGAATCGTACTATCCATCCATCTACAAGTGATTCAATTTACAAGCTTTTGTCGAACCAGAATAGCGATGTGTTTTTCCCGAACTAACCCATAGGGATCAGGAGAGGGGCAGAGGGAGAGAGCTCACCCTGAGTGTCGAATGTAGAAAACACCAAAAAGCTCATACAAAATACTTGGAAGTGCTCAGGTGTGGGACTCTCTCGCAACCCCCCTAAAAAACGCAAGGGTGCGACTGTCCGGAGAAAGTTCACACCTCTCTTTGGTTCGACCACATTTGGTTCGTTTTCTTATGCGATAATGCGTATGATATATGTATAGATATATACTAGTCGAGATTTATTAAAATTTAGTTACTGTATAGCTATGTTTATGTTCTCCATGTAGACTCGTATACATCATTCATTCATTCAATGCTTCCACTTTGGGTTTCTCATTTAAGGCGTTCTGTACAGTTTGCGTTTAAACGTTCTGAAGTCAATTGTGTCGATTATTTAACTACTCTTTATATATTTATATGTATAGTCTAATAAATTACTAGTACTCGTATATCGTATCTGTTGTATATTGGGAAAATGTTCGATTTGCTGTTCGAAATTCTCAATTACTGATTTTGCGGCTTAGCAAATTTTGTAAATAAATTTATCGCTTCACGTGATGGGTGCAAAAAGTTCGCATAAAGATTTTCATTCTTTGGGAATTCTTAGAGAAGTTCGTATACATTTTGAGTGATTGTTTCGAGTGTGATAATTGGTTGGATGTTGGATGAGTGTGCCTAGATGTGAGTGTGCTAAACAAATGATGGGTTCCCATGCAAAAGAAGCTCGAGTTTCATTCAAAGAGCAGGCCAAAAAAAGGTACTCGCTTTTCCACACGTTCCTCAATCGGTTCTTCGTTCATATTCAATAAATTCCAAATAAATTACTTAAATTTCGATTTGTTGCCCTCTGCATTTACGTATATTCGTTACCATTTAAGATTAATCAGATTCACAAGCAATGTAAATTCAATTCAGTTCCTTAGCATGTGTCGGTGATCCAGTTGTGTACTACACCAAAAAGAAACAAATCATATTTGTGTAGGTTAGAGTTAGAGTTGCATTCTCTTGGAGAATGTCTCCTCAGTGTGTTGCAAACGAAATGATAAGAGTCCTTGCCCCGCTGTAAAATAATTTGAGTGGCAAACCAAACCAATGCAAACCAAAAGCAAATAAAAACACAAACACAAAATGTTATTTTTTCAAATATTTTCTCATATATGCATTTTGTTTTCATCAATAAATCCTCGCTTGTACAATGCTTTGTTCCTCCTCTCATTGCTTGAATTAGTTAAATTTAAATCATTAATTAAGTAATTGTAATAATAATAATAGTTAACTAAGGATTAACGCATACAAATTAGAATACATAAATAAAAGTACAGTGTAAACGTAATCATAAGTTATTATTAATATTTACGTATACATATTCAGAGCTACATATGTATATGCCTATGCCATTATTTGTATCGCTTTAGTCGTATCTTGCATAAAATCCATACATATACACATATGGTACATATATATATTCAAATCGGTCCATGTGCTTCAGTTGGAAAATAATACTACAAACTCCGCACACAATGAAAATGATCTCAAACAAATTCCATTCAAATCAAAGGGTCTCCTGGTATATGTATTTATGTTGTTTATCTGCCATCTCTCTCTTCTCGTCTCTCGATCTTTCTTTTTTGTAAAAATTAAATTCCATTTCGTTTTTACTTAAGTGTTGCAAGGCGTAAAATTAGAAAACAATTCAATTTATTTAAATTAATCGTCTAAACGTAGGATACAGTAGGGTTCTATCGCCTATAGACAGGGTTCTTCTAGGTGTATCGTATCGTATCGTATCGTATCTATATATATATATACTCGTATGTATAGTTAGTTATCGATTTGTTTTGTATGTACATATACATATGCGTAGAGGGTATCTATAGAAAACAAAGCGTTACTACAACTGACTCGTTACATAACTAAAAAGAAACTAAAAACTAGCAAAGAATATTCTCCACTCTCTCTTACTTGCGATCTCCATCTATCCTATTCCACAAATAATATGCTCATTCAAATTCACTTTTCTATAACGTATATTCAAAACTGATCAAATTTCGTGCTGATTCTTCTGCATTGTCTGCTGGTGGTTTTGGTGGCGGTTCGTGCGGGGTTGAGGCGGGGCATTTACTAAATTCAAACTAAAGTCTACTCAAATTCAAATGAAACAACAAAATCGCTTTATACTTGTTTGCTTGGTTCTGTGTGTTCCATTCCGGACAGCGCCTAAATTCATGCTTTAATAAAAATGTTTCAACTGCATTTTGAACCTAAAAAATTTGCATTTCAAATTGTTGTGGCTGTGTGTGTGTGTTCTGGGTGTGTTCTGGGTGTGTGTATGTATAGTTTTGTGTGTTCTGTGTGGGTTCTGGCTTTCATTTTGTTTATTTAACTTAGAGCTAAGCGTTCCATTTTGTTTATGCATAAATATCTCTTCCTCCTTTGCTTTTCTGCTGCGTTATTTATGTGTTCTTTTTGTTTCTTTCATTTCTTTTTCTTTTAAGGTATACACAAATAGTTTCTTTTTTTTTTAAATTGTAGTTTCTGGTGTTGCTTCTGATGTCTGCTTGTGGTGTTGCTGCTGCGAATATCATTTTTAAGATTTTACTACACTTGTTCTTTGCTTTTTGTATTTTGTTTTTTGTTGCTTTTCCTATAACTTGACTGATATTGCCACTCGGTTTGCTGGGTTCAGGGATGGGATCGGAATGATCCATGTCCATTCCGGGGTCCTCTCCTGCTCCTGCTCCTGCTCCTGTTCCATGTCCTGCTGCTCCTGATGATCCGTTCCGCTGGGTAGTAGTAAATTTAAGCTATGATTTTGGCTTTTTCGCTGTCGGCCAGCTGCTCGAACGCAGCTATTGGCTCAGCCGCCGCTGGTGCCTGTCCGACCGCCGGTGTCGGCTGGCCGCTGCATTACAAGTGCTGGCCGTAGTACTCGGCGGGCGGGTAGTGCGGGTAGCCCTGATGGAAGCCGGGATCGCCGGGCGGACGGTGCATCATATGCGCCTGGCTGTCCATCATGTAGCCCATGGCGTCGTGCCCGTAGCCGGAGGGACCTGGATGCGGTGTATAGACTGTGGGTCAGTGATCGTCGGAGCAGAGAGTGGGGGGGAAAGAGAAGAGAAAAAAATGCGCATAATTAGAAATTGCGGTCGAAAGGATTGCGAAAGAAGGAGAGCTGAAGGCCCCTCCAGTTTCAGCTGAAGTGGATCAGCTCTCCTCTCCTAATTCCTAATTAAATCAGCGCCATTTCATAGTTATGGATATTTTTCGAGAGCTCAGAACGATAGTTACCTGCACGATTCGATTGATCGATCATCGGCTGGACAATTCTTCGCCGCGCATTGATGAACCTGTAAGTGGAGCAGAGAAGTTGAGAGCGTTTTAGTTTCATTCGTTAATTAAACAGACCAAAATCGAAGACAAGATAGAGTCGGAAATGGAATCCGCATCGTTGTTGGAGTTGGAGACAGACCGACCCAAAGCTGGAGAGTATGAATTATGCATGAATTGGCTGGGATTTGCCGGGATGGCTGCTTTATGTGCCCAACTTAGCCATAAACCAAACCAAATCTCCACCAGAGTCACACTTTTTGTTGACTTGGCACGACCAGGCCAGGCTCTCTGCTCTCTGCTCTCAGCTCTCAGCTCTGACCAGATCAATGGGCCATGCCGACTCTGGTTATGATTGTCGTTTAATAAATGCAATAAGAAATAATAAGCAGTTGATCCAGCTACTGCGTGAAGGATCAACGGCGACACAGAAAAAGAGGAAAATGATTAAAGCAAAAAGCCGCCACCGGAGTGACAGTCACTACTTGGCTCTGACGATGTACCCGCCACAAAAAACCATCCAGCAAACAGCAAAACATTGGGAGAAAAAAAACACACACCAGCCACATCGGTTACAGATGCGAGTACAAGGCCAGCCAAGAGAGAGAGAGAGACGATACAGATACAGATACAGATACAAATACTCGCATTAGCCGAAAAGAACAGCGGCTCAAACAGTTGTTGGAACAGTTAGCGGGAAGGTTAATGCACTCCGCGACTGACTCCTCTTCAGCGAAATCTTCTGGCACTCCTCTCCGCTCCGCGCCAACTTTGGACTTTTCAATTTGCAGTTGATTTCTGCTGTGTTCTGCTGCTCTGCTCATTTTAGGGCGGAAATTGTTGCAACGCCCTGAAATCGTTTATCAAAACGACAAAATGGAATTGAGTTCCGTTGCCTTACAAACATATAAACATATTTTCTTTATTATTTCGTTGTTGAAGAAGCTGCAGCAGCAGTAACGACAGAAGATGCGGGGCTTGTAAGCTGCAAATCGATTTGCCCGCTGGCCCTGGCAGTTGATTGGACTGATTGCCGAAGAGTTCGAGAAAGAGCGATACAGATACCCATACCCGTACAGACACAGATACAGATCGCAGATAAAGATGGAGAGAGAGAGAGAGACTAACTTCTAGTTAATAATGATGGCAGTCGGAGTGGGTGAGACATTCGGTAGGTGAACATTTGCAGAGTTATTTATGTACTTAGGCCATAATTATAAGTTTGCTCTTGCCTTTTCTGCAGCTGTACGAGTAACTAAGCGTTAATATTTAAAACTTGGCCACTGAGAAAGCGATGGAAAAAAGCGAAACTTTTTCGATTACCAAAGTTCCTTGGGCCGTCGCTGGCCTTACTCTGCCATCTTATTGGGTGTTAATGGACTTTTCCTCCATCTCTGTACCATCTCCATATCCAACTCCAACTCTCCTCTGTGCGCTGGTCATTTGAATTGCTGCTCCTTATGCAGTGTTTCTGTCTGTCTGTCTTTCTGTCTCCCCCCAAGCCTCGATGTTGCTTGGCTTGCCTCAAATTGCGCAAAATAAATACACATTTAGAGGGAGATACGCAGACGGCCCTTGGCTATTCCCCGAGGATTAGAGTCCTGCCAGCCTTCCTTGGGCGGGCTTTGCTCGGCTTTCTTTTCCCAGCCCAACCCCCTGCAAAGGTGTCGTCCGTTAGCCCATAAATAACCAAAAGTGTCAACATTTTATTTCGCTATTTTCTGCTTAGGTTTTTCTTTTTTCCATGGCCATCCTCTACCTCCATCCTGCAGCCTTCTCTCTACGCAGTGTTGCGTGCCTAAGCGAAACGGGCAGGACGGGCCAGCACGGGACAGCACAGGAAAGAATAGAATGGGGTCCTGGCCAGGTCCTTGCTACTATTTGTTAATTTGCAGTGTGCTTCAGTGAGCGCGAAATTCAATTTAATTGAGCTGAGTGCCTGCCTGCCTGCCTGCTCGTCTCTGGTAACCCCAACTTGGTTCAATCCCTGCTCCCTGCTCCTGCTCCTGCTCCTGCTCCTGCCCCACTCGGATCAACCACCCCTCTCCCTTTCTCTCCGGATAAAGCTCTCACACATTTCTCGCTAGATTTTATTATGGCCTGTCCCTGCTTAAAAGCATTCCGAGGCACATCAGAGCCGGGCCAAAGCCAGCTGCATAAAAGATTCAGCAAACGCTTTTAACTTGCTCTCCAGCTTTCTGTGGCAGTCCCATTCCCCTCTTTCCCATCTGGCAGAACTTCTTTCGTATTTGCAACTGCATGAGGCAGCTTAGGCAGCCTTGTCTTGTCTCCTTCTGCATTGGCTGTGGCACCGTGTCAAGTTCTGCAGCATGTCGCATAATGTGTAAAATTTGATGAAGTTGCCTCCAAGCTGCTGCTGCTCTCCATTTCTCTATATCTCTTTCTTTGTCTCTGCCTCAGGCCTAATGCACTTCTGGATCTACCTAGGATTTGGCTTTCAGTCTCCATCCAGCTGTCTGTCTGTTTGTCCGTTTGTCTGCTGTTCCGTTGCTTATGGGGCTGTCCAAGGTAGCAAGGCCCATAATTTTGTTTGCCACATTCTTTGCACCTCTCCGGCCTCTGTGGCAGGTTGAGTTTGCCTTTACTTTGCCTTAACCACTCTCAACTCTATTTGCTTGGCGTGGGCTGCCTCATCCACTCTGTTTGTGCTCTGGTTTCTGGGTTTAGAGCCTCAGAGCGGGCATAAAGCGGGTAAGTAATGGCCTGCATTTGCATTTTGCTCTGTTTATTATGATCTCTGTCTCTTGCAGATAAGATGATCTCGATCTAAATCTACGTCTTTATCTTTATCTTCATTCATAACTTACCAATTATTCACTTGCAGTATCGTTAGGCCTGTGTCCTGGGCCAATTGTTTCTTCTGGTCCTCGGATGGGTAGGGATGCTGAAAATAGAGCAAAACAAAGAAAAGCATTTAATAAATAATCCATTATTAAATACAAATTATGTTTACTCCACTGCCTGTAGTGGTGGGTTGGGGAAATACTCTTACAGGCCAAGATTTACAATATATCTGTCAGAGGCGGAGAGGGCGGAGAATCGATCAATCATTGCCAGCAAGCAGTGGCAATAAAAGCAAATGGGAACCTGTCACCCCGGGCCCAGCGTTGCACTTGAAATGCTGCACAAGAGAGTGTTTTTATTTCGGCTGTTTTTTTTTCTGTTTTGTGGTTTTGTTTATCAGACGAGAGTGCACTTCTTATCAGCAGTGCCACTCAAAATGTCCTCAATTTGCAGCCCGCTGCCCGGGCTGCCCGGGCACTGCAGTGCGTACGCGTGTCTAGCGCCAAATGGGCAAACAAAGGCCATGAGGAGGACTGCCTGGGACTGGGACTGGGACTGGCACTGGAACTGCTTCTATGACAGGGGCTACTTCCCCATAAATCTTGCAGTCGACCCGCCGACACAGTGGCGTCAGTGTGCAAACAATCCAAAAACAGAACCCAGTGAAAGTGCTTCCCTTTCCCTTTCCCTTCCCCTCTCTCTCTGTGTGTGTGTGTGGAGCTGTGTGGAGCAGCTAATCTAATCGTTTCTACGGGGGCTGGCGCTTATTACAATTTGTTTTATTTGCTTTGTTGTTGGCCCTGTGCTGTGCACTTTCTGTTGATTCAACGATTCCGATCGCAACACAAATTCACTGTACCTACTAATATAATGATTGTTTCCGCGGTGCCACAGGCAAAGGAACGCATTCACCGGCACCTGGCTGCTGTCAAAATTTCTAAGGATCTCTGGCGGAAGTTGCTGTCAAACGGTTTGGCTTTGTTTCGCCCTCAAATCGGGACAACGCTTTGCGCGTGCTCCGACTCCGACTCAGACTCAGACTCTCTCTGTCTGCGTTTTCTCCCTGCCTCTGGGTCCTTTGTATTAACCCTTGATTGCCGCAACGTTTCCGGCAGCTGTGGGCGTCGCTTCAGCTTTTGGCACTCG